CCAAAGTGACCCTCCCCACTGACTGGTCAGAGAGAAGATCTCGCCATCTCGCCATTTTCATGACAGAAGCAATTCTCGCCAATCAGCTTACCCTAATTTTATTTCTTCACGAAAATCTTCATATATGACAGCTCATTTTAGAGAGCAAAATATCAGCAATCTGTTAGTGTTAGGTCTTCAAATCTAGGTATAACTTTTCGGACAGGAGAGGCGCCAAAAACGGGGTGGCAAGAATTACTTGACGGCGAGAAATACTTTTTGACCAGTACTTCTACTGGCTGGTCAGAGAGAAGACCTCACAGAAACAAATCTCGACAATCTGTTCACAACAATTTTATTTCTCAATGTAAATCTTTGCAAATGATTTGGAGGGGGGTCTGTGAGGGCTCATTTTTGAGAGCAAAATGGTGGCAAACTGTGAGGAGGGGTGAGAAGGGGGTGGGATGCCAGGAGTAGGGGGTGTAATACCAGAGTTGAGGGGGGGGGGGTCGGGAATATTTGGAGAACACCCTGTTCGACGTTTTGTCTGCAACACATTTTGTAAATCTATATAGGACGAAAAATACAGTGGCGGCAATTACTTCTTGACCAGTAAAGTTCAGTAGGCATGTATATTAATATATATCTGTCAGCCCTTCCCCCTCAGACAGAATCAAATGGTCAGATAATAGCATTTTAGGATTAATAGAAACCGTTTATTACCTGGGTTTTCCAGTAATGATTTAGTTTCCATTCTCTAACACACCGCCACCTGTTGTCTTCAGAAAACAAAATAAAACCGAGTTCCTGTATATATGCCATATAAAAACAAAAATTTGATTTATCTATTTAATTGTTATCTTTTAAATGTATGTGCTGTACATAATTGATTTAAATTACTCAGGATATATACTCCATATTGCTCCTACTTACAGGAGGCTTATACACAGAAGAAGAAAACCAAGTGCCATCTGTCGTCATAATGATCGTTAGAAAAATACAACAATGACATTTAACAAATCGACATGTTTCAAGTTACAAAACATCAATATACGAATTTCAGCATGTCTATGGCAAATATTTATAAGTGACGTGGTTACAAATGAAGAATGGCAATATAAGAAATAGCATACGAATGTTAGATTTAATGAATTACAAAGTCGCAAATAAAGAATCTCACAGTTACAAATATTGAATTTCAAAGTTACAAATGTTGCATTTCAAAGTTGCAAATACAGATTTTCAACATACGAATTTTGAAATTACACAGTTACAAGTGGGAAATTGACAATTTACGAATTAAGAATTTTGAAATTACAGTTACAAGTTACAAATTGACAATTTACGAATTAAGAATTTTGACCCCGTTGCCTTTCCACACTAAAGGCAATTTCAAATGTGTTGCCTTATCTGGTTTACAAGAATTTAGACGTGAAGATAAATATGAAGGTTGTACTTCATCTTTTTCAACGTCCTCTGAACAATTAAGGTTCAACTTATAAGCCATTTTATGTAGAAATTTATTCCACTGAATTGGATCAGTAGGCCCTGGTGCACCTTCACTGACAAGAGAAATATCATGTTCGAAATAAGGTAGGTTATGGATTTCATTGTTATGAGGTTCATCATCTTGTGATCTTACAGAGATCAGATCATCAGGTACAAAATTACTGTAATGAGGTCTTTGTTTGAAACAAGAATTACTTTGTTAAGTTACATAATTCGAGTCACCTATGTTTGACTGTGTACCTGTGAGAAGAGGAATTGGGTCTTGTTTCAACTCTGTATCAGTCATGGCACGTGGTAAAAACTGTTTTAAGTTGTATTTGAACCTGTTCAGCAATGAACTGGTTAACTTAAACTGCCTTGTACTGCAAAACGGGCATATCATCGAAGTTTGGAGATGCCAATGCACTCGGCACTTTAACAAAGTCCTTTTTCCTGCCAACATCCTGCACAGAAGGTTTTGCAGCTAAGGAAATTTTACCACAGGCTTTATCAAACATTCTATCAACGATTGGTCGCCTTTCATCATTTCATTCCCAGCAAATGTCACATGGGAAACCTTTATAAATGACATATTTGGTACCGAAAATATTCATCGTGATTATCTAACACATTACTTCGTGCACTACATCTTCTACAACTCTTAAATCTATCCTCCATCGATAACTATCTAATTCGGCGGGGCCCTAATTATTAACCTTGATTGTAATGAGAGGGTATTTAAGTGTAACACAATGTGTGAAAGCACAATATTTAACAAGGTGTATTTCAATCTAACATAATTAATACAAGAACATGTACCTTGCAGACATTTATCGTACACGTATTCTGCCGACATTAATTGCATTGTGCAGATGTTAATACCATTATCAACTGCCCAACCTAGTACATGTATTATTTAATAGCTAGACTAGCTACTCTATAAACTGTTGACATTTATGGCTATGGTTGAAAGCTGATTGATGACCTGGCCTCTGAACTATATAAGATCCAGCTTTGGACTCGAACAGTAGATTCCGACAGGAGATTCTGCCAAGGTCTCCCCCCTTGTGGGTAGACTGGAATTAATTCACTACCATCCGAATAACTCAGTCAGGACCGAACAGTTATACCACTATACGATCACGTGTCCATGTGACGATGTGAACATTCGAACAATTCAACTTTAAAGACAGTTTGTGAACAATCGAACATTTGAACTTTAGAAACAGTCTTGACTTTGTAATTACATAATAAAATTTATTTATCCACTTACTGACTTCGTTACATAAGTAGGGTTTGTTTTGATAGTAATTATTCATGTCACTATTATGACCAGAAATGTGTGGCTGCTTTTAAAGGCAATAAGGTCAGGTCAAAAAGATTGCTTTCTCTGAAAATGGTAAACCAACGTTTTATGTCAGTTTCATGCTCGGCACAACAAGTCATATATATAATTTACTGGTAAAGTCTGAACAATACCACAGTTTTGGAAGCCCTGGTTTACACCTCAGCCGCCGGATAGTAGAAAGGCAAGACAAAAATGAATTTTATTACATGACATCTTTCATAAATGGTTCTTCACAGGGGCCAAAATGGGTGACCACGCTCAAAACTGTGTATCGCTACCTACTGCTAAACAACTGTATAAAATCAAAGCACTGTGAGCACTATAGGCAGTTAATTAAAAAACCCAAGGCAAATGTGGCAAAAGTTATGATAATTATTGTGGAAGAATTTGTTTAATTATTTATCACAGCTATATCTCAAGTATCAAAATATGTTTGTACTATACTGTTTCCACTATCCAATCCTACCATTTATTTTCAAGTTATTTCCAATTTATTTTAAATTACTTTAAAATATGTATCCATTTTTAAAGATTCAATGTCGGAGAAGATGTACGTACACTGTCCCAGGTTAGGGTAGGGTTTGGTGCCAGCTAACATGTTTAACCCGCCACATTCTGTATGTACCTGTCCATATTCAGGACCCAGTTATTTGGTGGTTGTTGATTGTTGCTGTATATCATATTTGTTTTTCATTATTGTTTTGTACATAAATCAGGCTGCTAGTTTTATTGTTAAGATTTGTTTTACATTTGTCATTTCGGGGCCGTTTATAGCTTACTATGCGGTATGGGTTTTGCTCATTGTTGCAGGCTGTATGGTGACCTATAGTAGTTAACTTCTGTCAACTTCTCCATACACTGAGGAATGAATTTAACTTATGGAGGAACATTCTTATCAGAATAATGGTGTCCCACAGTGGTGTATGGTTTAATTCCACTATGTACTAGAGCTTTCATATGCCACATTAGCGGTTTAAGTTGGATCAGCTGGTGCCACTCTGTACACAGACTGATTTAATCATACTTGAAACAGTCTGAAGTGGTGTTATTTTCTTGTATATTATATAAAACACAAAATGCTCATATGTTGATGATCTAGCAATGATGCAACATATGTTGTTGAATGCCGTAAGGTTGCTGATAATTGCTTACATCCACTTCATTTGATCTTTGGTGGATAGTTGTCTCTATGGCAATCATACCACATCTCCTTATTTTTATAATTATTGTACTTCTTAGTTCTAAGTGTCTAATTTATAATAAACTGTTAACACACAGATATGTCTCACCTATTTGTTATTTTGATAATGCAAATGTTGAAATTAAAATAGGAATACTTTAACATGTAAGTTATGCAAATATTCAAAGTCAATGAACCATGACTGAAGGTACAGGGCTGAACAATCTCCATGGAAATGAGATGTGCCAATGCTAATACAACTGCATACCAAATACCATTGACTTTTCATAAGTCGTTCCCTTTTAACAAACATAAACACAAACATTAACTTGTAAACTATGTAAAAGTTTCAAAGTCAATGAACCATAATGAGGGGGTGGGGTTATATAATCTCCATGGAAATGAAACTTGCAAATGCCAATACATTTGCATACCAAATATCATTGACTTAACATTAGTGGTTCATCTTAAACTGACATAATCACAAACTAATACATGTAAACTAAGTAAAAGTTTCAAAGTCAATACACCATGACTCAGGAGTAAGGACCAAATATTCTCCATGGAAATGAGATGTGCTGATGCTTATACAACTGCATACCAATTATCATCATGATCATTGACCTACCACTAACGGTTCCCCTTAAACTGACCTAATCACAAACTAATAAATGAAAACTAAGCAAAAGTTTCCAAATCAATAGAGCATGATTGAGGGGGCGGGGCCAAATAATCTCCATGGAAATTAGATATGCCAATGTTTAAACAACTGCATACCAAATATCATTGACCTTCCACTAGTGGTTCCCCATAAACTGACCTAATCACAAACTAATACATGTAAACTATGCAAAGTTTCAAAGTCAATAGACCATGACTGAGGGGGAAGGGCAAAATAATCTCCATGGATATGAGATGTGTCAATGCTTATACAACTGCATACCAAATATTATTGACCTACCACTAGTGGTTCACCATAAACTGACCTAATCAAAAACTAATACATTGTTGACGCTATTGTTGACGATATAAAAACAAGTGACAAAAATGTATTCAGTAAATAAAAAAATTGAAAACAAGAATGTGTCCATAGTACACAGATGCCCCACTCGCACTATCATTTTCTATGTTCAGCGGACCGTGAAATTGGGGTCAAAACTCTAAATTGGCATTAAAATTAGAAATACATTGTATCATATTATAGGGAACATGTAAGTTCCAAGTTGATTGGACTTCAACTTCATCAAAAGCTACCTTGACCAAAAACTTTAACCTGAAGCGGGACAGACGGACGGACAAACGAACGAACAAACAGACTGAAACACATAATGCCCCTCTACTATCGTAGGTGGGGCATAAAAATCCATAATCGAAATACTGCTGCGTAATTAGTAATTCTCCTTGTTACAATTTAACAGCCATTGGATTGTCAAGTATACAAACTAACATATTTCATGTTTCTGCACAATGCATCAATATTATGAATACCAACTATCTTTATATAACTTCATGCAAAAAGTTTCTGATAACTAGGTATACTTCTTAGTGTGCAATAATATATCTCTGTTTGTAGTAACGGTTACACAGATTCTGACATATCATAGTTCTGAAAGTATCGTTAGACAGTCTCTAACAATAGCTGGACCGATAGGCAAACTTAATAACAAATAATATTTATGTGTTGTAACTGCAGGCAATTTTGTAATAATTCCTGTCAGAAACCTGAACCAAAATTTGTCTGACTAGTCGACAGGATGAGACCTGGTAAAAATCTTCAAATTTGGTCATATCTGTAGATATGTATACATGTAAATATCTTCAAAACATCAAAATTGTCTAGAGTTTCATTGCTGTTATGAAATTATTGTGGTGACTAGTCAATCCAGCTGCTAGAGAGAATCATGTATTGTACATGTATGGCTTGCCTATTCTAGGATAAGCCAAAAATTGGAATCGAGCTGAAATAAAAACAAATACAATAGTTATATTTCTTATTTTGACAAATAGCAAAAAAAGCTTCATGTCTAATATGTATATTATGCATTAGTTTTGTCCATGTAAAGCCATCTATGGCATGTATGGGATATCCTTTTTTAAGTGTCAGATTAAAAACTTTGATTTTTTACAAAAAGTTATCAGTTTGAGAGATAAAATTATGTTAAATAATTATTTCATTTATTCATACATGAATATATATATGCATGTCATTTAATATATAATGTCTTAGTATAAATAATTATGACCTCTGGAAAGGCCACTTTCATCTATTTGCTTGACGCTAATAATGCATTAATTGTTAGATATCATTGATGCTGGGATAATTAATGCTTACATTAATAACTAGAGCTGTCTGGATAGTGTTACTAAATTACCCATGATACCCCTGTACATGCATTTTAGTTGCTGCTTTGGCAACAACGTTTTGAGATATTTGGCTTTCAGTTATTTATTTTAAAAAATCATTGCATTTGCCTTGGTCATGTCTGTGTTAGGTCATGACACATGGTTTCTGATAGGTCTATCTGACAAAAATATATTGTGAGCTCCAAAATTAATGCACCCATTTATGATTAAATAATTTTTTGCAAATCTTTGATGACGGTCTCAAATATTAGGTTTACACCTAACTGCGGCCAAGCTTAGCGAAAGGTCGTGCAACATAATCAGTCAAACAAACTTTTTTAGATTAACTCTTTAAGGAACGATCGTTTTCATTGGTCAATTCAAACCTTCGACCTCACACCTGCGAAAATAGAACACACGTACTATGTGTCGGTTAGTGTATGGAAAGGTATATACTATGAAATTTAGAGCGAGGGGCTTGCCCCGAGCTCTTAATTTCATAGTATATACCTTTCCATACACTACCCAATTTAGCACATATTTACAACTTGAGTAATCCTGTAATTAGTCTATTGATATGTTTTGGCTGACTAGGTGTAGCTCATTACGTAGTTTTGTAAATCTACTCACTAGTATCATTGTAAAATATTGAATCCAGAATGAAAAGATGGTAGCTGCTGGTGTAAGTATGTTTATTGACATAAAGCGGTGTTTTACTATTCATGTACTTCTTCACATGGTAAGATGACAAAATAAATTGACCAAAAGCAGGCAATAATTAAATTGCAGTGGAAGCTTTACAATCTTGAAAACATTTTTTTCAATTTCACCTAAAAACTAAAACTATAATAAATTTTACACATATGGATAGTTTGCACTGGCGGATCCAAAAAGGGGGAGGGGGAGTTCAGGAGGGGGATGGAAAACGCCCTTTTTGTGATGATCAATACTTTTGAATGAGGACATACAGTTGGACCCCCCTTTTATCTTGGGTTGGAACCCCTTTTAAAAATGACTGGATCTGCCCTGGTATGTACCCATAGGTAGTCTAGTGGATAGTTTACATGCATGAAATATTTGTCACTGGACATTAAGCAACCAATAATCAATCAATTCATGACGAAATATATCAAATTGCTGTAATTTTCCTTCACAAGGTTTCATGGTTCACTCTTTTTTGTGTACAAAGTAATTGCATGGAAGATAAATGATTACAATTTTCAGATGGCGTTGTACTCTAATCAAGGTATAAAAAAACATATGTGTTACTCTTTATTTAAATGAAAGAAACTCTTAATCGTCAAAAACATTTTTAGATCCAAAGATTAAATAGTAGGATGTTTGAAAAACAATTTGAAAACTAGTTACACACTGTTTAGTTTAATTTGTAACACAGCATTTATTTCAAAATAGCCAGTAGCAATTTTTGTTTTAATATCTTGATTACGATACAATGAAATCTTACCCTTGTGGTCATTCATGCGTAGTTACTTAGTACATGGAAAAAGTATGTACTATGAAAATTAGAAGGCAAATATAAGCAATTTGATTGGACGAGAAGTTGTAAGTATGTGCTAAAACGTTTTAGCACATATTTACAACTTCTCGTCCAATCAAATTGCTTATATTTGCCTTCTAATTTTCATAGTACATACTTTTCCCGTGTACTAAGTAACTACGCACGAATGACCACAAGGGTAAGATTTCATTGTATCGTAATCAAGATATTTAAAACAAAAATTGCCACTGGCTATTTTGAAATAAAATGCTGTGTTCCAAATTTAATTAAATAGTTTGTAATTAGTTTTCACGTTGATTTTTAAATATCCTGCTAAAATCTTTGGATCTAAAAAATGTTTTTGACAATTGCAAATTGTTTTCATTTAAATAAAGGGTAATACATATGGTTCTTTATACCTTGATTAGAGTACAACGATATCTTAAAATTATGATAATGTATCATCCATGCAATTACTTTGTACACAAAAAAGTGTGTACTATGAAACCTTGTGAAGGGAAATTAAAGCAACTTGGTGATAATTTTTTAAACTTTCTTAAGGAAGCTGATCTATTTCGTCATGAATTGATTGAGTTATTGATTATCGGTTGCTTAATTTCCAGTGGCAAATATTTCATGCATGTTCAGGACGATGTCATGAATTGAAAAACTGTGATTATGTCTGAAGATAATGTGCCAATTATATATATATATAAACATATTCTGATAAATCTTTTAGTTTCTTACTTTGAAATAATAAAAAAAAAAAAAAAAAAAAAAAAAATTCGTAAGGGTTCCGCGGAACCCAGTGTCTCGCCTACTTCTGCTGTTAATCACAGGCTCAACAAAAATGAGGAAAAAAATTAATAAAAATATTCCTCTCTATACTATCTTTTGATTGTAAGTAGCTTCTGTCCAAGTTTTGTAAAAATCCAGGATAGTTTATGAATCTAATAACTGTTTTAAAATAAAAACTTAAACTGCAGACTGTTATGTAATGTTAACTGGAAGAAAAACTAAGTCCATTTATAAGTAAAATACGGAAAAAATGGAACAAAATTTTAACAAAATTTCCTTTTAGATACTAGCTTTTAATCATAAACAAGCTTCTCTCCAAGTTTGGTACAAATCCAGGATAGTTTAAGAAAGTTGTTAAAATTTTAAAAACTTTAACCACAGAGTGAATGTAATGTTAACTGGCAGAAAAACTAAGTCCATTTATAAGTAAAATACGAAAAAAATGGAATTTTTTTTTTACAAAATTTACTTCTGGATACTATCTTATGATCACAAACAAGCTTCTTTCCAAGTTTGGTACAAATCCAGGATAGTTTAAGAAAGTTATTAAAATTTCAAAAACTTTAACCACAGAGTGAATGTAATGTTTCCTGGCAGAAAAACTAAGTCCATTTATAAGTAAAATACGGAAAAAATGGAATTTTTTTTTTACAAAATTTACTTTTGAATATTATCTTATGATCATAAACAAGCTTCTGTCCAAGTTTGGTAGAAATCCAGGGTAGTTTAAGAAAGTTATTAAAATTTCAAAAACTTTAACCACAGAGTGAATATTTGTGGACGCCGCCGACGACGACGACGACGACGCCGACGGAATGTAGGATCGCTATGTCTCGCTTTTTCGACAAAAGTCGAAGGCTCGACAAAAACACAAAACCTATAATCTCTGATCTATTTGTGGATGCTTTTTAATGCCTATCTGCTAAACTATATCTATGGGGACAAACTATCTAAAAATATGTTTCAAATTTATTATAGCTTAAGTTTTACTGTGAAATTAAAAAATGTTTTCAAAACATGTAAAGCTTCCACTGCAATTTAATTATTGCCTGCTTTTGGTCAATTTATTTGGTCATCTTACCATGTAAGAAGAACATGTATAGTAAAACACCGCTTTATATCAATATACATACTTACACCAGCAGCTACTATCTTTTCATTCTAGAGTCAAGGGCCTTTTGAAATCACATATTTTACAATGATACTAGTGAGTAGATTTACAAAACTTCATTTATGAGCTCCGTTTTACAAACACCTGTGATACGAGTAGTCAGCCAAAATAAACTATCAATAGACCAATTAAAAGATTACTCGAGTTGTAAATATGTGCTAAATTGGATAGTCTATGAAAAGGTATATACTATGAAATTAAGAGCTCGGGGCAAGCCCCTCGCTCTAAATTTCATAGTATATACCTTTTTATAGACTAACCTAGACGAATGAACTGATCAATGTTCACTTAGCTGGTCAAGGTTGTTAAAAGCTTCCATCCTCGTATTCGCGTACATGATTGTGCTCTTGATTATCAAATTTCGATTCTAGCTTTTATACATGTGCATGTAAAATTCATTGATTTTATAATTTTGAGCAATAGTATAATTTCAAACTTCAAAATCTGAACTTTTTTCCCATCGAAATATTTAATTCAACTGTCTCCTCTCTGGATTAAGGGACGACATCAAAAGTTAAATGTAGGATAAAAAAAACTTAATTCCCATTATCCCATAGTTTTTTCACTAACCCCACCCCCCTCTTAACTTAATTTGGGGAAAATTGATTGACCAATATGGATATAGGTAAAATGGGTGTCAAATAAACAAACAAAAAATGCAGCAATTTTCACCCCAACCCCCAAACTATTCGAATTAAGTTTTTGGTATCCTACATTAATCTTTTGATGTCGTCCGTAAGGGAGCTACCATTTTATTTTGATTGGGGGGGGGGGGTGGGGGGGGACTTGAATGAAACATGTTGTCCTGCATTTTTTAGTTGTAATCTCTATCCCGTCTTTTTAAATTTCAGTCTATTCAGTCCTGCCTTTTTTACTAGTTTATCTTGATTTTTTTTACATAAATCGTCATCCTGCCTTTTTTTGCCAAGTTGCTCATCTTGCCTTTTCTTCAAGTATACTCAATGGACTCGATGAATTAACGTTGTACTTGAAATGAAACCGTACTTAACTACACAAATAACCAAATTACATACTAAAGATATTGCTCGATTTTTTTTAGTAAATGGGTCTGTGTTATAAACTTTCATGTTCACTATTCATATTCTTTCGCAAGTTTTAGGTATTCGATATAGGATAGTGTGATTTTT